TGACCAGGCCAAGTTAAATCTCAGGCTACGCCTGATATAAGCATTATATATTTCCCTCCCACACATCATTTTTTCCCGGCTGGTATCCTTGTTGTAGTGTTTATCTGCCAGGTTAGGCCCCATAAAAAAAATATTTGTTTATCACCCTATCAAATCAAAGTATCAAAGAAAACACTGATGAGGGTGGGTTTTTGTTTTTGTTTTTTTTGTTTTTTTTTGCAAACTGCCCCTAATTTACCGATGTTCACAAGTAAATCAATGGTAGGGACACATATAAAAAGTCATAATGCAATCAAATTTATATTTTTAAAAAAGTATGTTTTTGTTGTACCAGTAAACATATTTGCAAGAAATCCTGAGCTTTTCAAGGGAAAAACGATGGAAATACAACCATTTGAAATAAAAATATATGTTGAATAAATATGTATTGATTAAAAAAAGGCTGTGCGTGCGTGTTCCGGCCCCACAGACAGACGATAGGCCCTCACCTCACCCCTCTATTATCACTAGGAATAAAGCCCAGGCTGGTGCCGTGGGGTCTGTCGTCTGTCTGCAGGAAATGCGCAACTTGGCTAGCAACTGCTGCTGTCGTGTTTTTTACTAGCTAAGCTAGTCTAGTATTGCCCCTAGGCTGGGCCGGATAAACGCTCTCTCAGACTCTTGACTAGGCCTACATACATGGCCTAGGCTAGAGTAGAGAGCTGAGAGAAGTTCATTTAACTTTATTTTTAATAAGAAAACTAGAAATATTCTTATCTTTTTTAGTGAATATGTTGTTTGATGTGTGATGCAAGTTACGCCTAAAATACAGCATAAAATTAAAAAGCAAAAATAAATCCCGGCACGGCACACAGTATCTTTTCTCGCGCTGACTTTTTTCGAGCTGTTTCAGTTCAGAGCTAGTGTTGGGGTCATTCACACTTGTCGCTGATTGGTCAGAAATAAAAATCCGTTCGGATTCACGTTTCCAATGGCTTTCTGATCCATTGCTCCGAATCCGGAGTCGGGGGAAAAAATCGGACTGTGTAGATGTGAACGCTTCTATTCTTTACCACTAAAGCCATTTCTCACGATTTTTTCTCCGGACTCCGGACCGGAATCTGGGCTTGATGTGAACGTAGCTTTAGAGGCTTTGTGCATGAAGCACTATATAAGAATGACATATTATTATTATTATTATTATACCTACCTCACACATTCCCGTAGTTCAGTAGGCCTACTATAGGTCCTACGTAATTGTAAATAAACGTTAATAAAAAAGCTTGTGTCTTCATTGTGTTTATAAATTAATTTTAACACTGTATACTTTGTATTTAAACAATTTATAATACTAATAGCTAAAAAATAACGTTTGGTGCGCAAGCCTAATGGAAAATATTATTTTCGGCTTGTTTTCACAGGCCGCAAAACACACAATCGAGCGCCGGAGATGTCTCACGGGCCACTAGTTGCATTGCGTTCTTCATAGAATCGTGTTGGCCGATGACCGTCATGCGCAGTGTGTGTCCGGATTTAGAATGGGGTGTAATGAGTACAATAAGTTCTTAAGTGCAGCTTCAATAAATGATGAGATGCTTTTGGGAGGGGATTTACTCACTCTGAAAGACGCAATCATTGATTTTGGGCAATTAGCATTGAGGTTGGGTGGAAAGACCATATCCCTCAGGAGGGACTCTAAATCTCCTTCAAGGGAAGCCCGAGTTATCGTAGCAAATCGTAGGGTAATTCTCCTTCAACTACCTACGTAAGTGGGTTACCTTTGCCAGATTTAACCGTAGAATTTGAGGTTACACACAAATTAGCGATACCTGCTGTGGAATATCGTAGCCGAAAGCTATCGTCCATTTGTGTCACTAATACTTAGGACTACTATTTGACCATGAAACAGAGCCAGAGGATTGGTAAAGCAATTGAAGTCAACACCAATCTGCCAAGTGCAGTCCCAAATCAGTTGAAAACTTTACTTGCAAAAGCACACAAAAACCACCCGAAACTCTATAACCCATATTATGAATTTTAATGCCCATGCACGATGGGCTCATAAGCAAGCTTCAAGAGTCTCTAATATCAAGTAAACAAGTAAGTATATCAACATTTGATTGGTTGAAATTGTGTATTTCGGTCCGCCCATTATCCAAATACAGAATATAAGATTACGTCATTCTTTTAAAAAAAAAGAGACTTGTGGCAAGTCTAGGCGAAAGCTAGATTGACTCTTTACAGATTCTGTAATAGGAAAAGAAGAAAAAGTCAACGAGATAACTGATGGTATCCTAAGTCAAACCACTACCACTAGAAAGAAAGAAAAGGTGGCGATTCCATGCTGGCTGATAGTTATGGATTTCTGGTAGGTCCTTGTTCTGGCCTAGGCCTAGCTTAGTAAGTAGGGCGGGATAGGGCGTTGGCCTAGGCCTATATAAAAAGGGACTTAGCTGGGATGATTGATAAGCGAACCAAGCGCATATCTACATCATAATAAGCTTAGGCCTAACCTTCCGTACTTTTAAGCATCAACAAGACTAGGCTAAGATTCGAAAGAAGGCTAAAACACTTGCTTGTATTGAAATCAACCCTTTTTTTTCTGAAATACGCAGACAGATCTGGCTAGGCCAAGGCTAGCCCCCTATGCCTAGTCTAATTTCTGCACGGTGGATAGGACTTAGCCTATATCAAGGCAGGAATTATTTCAAATTTTGGACCCGCATGGATTTTTTTACTATTGCCATTTTTTTTTCGAAAAAAATATTTGTTTCTCGTGAAAATTTAACCAAAAAAAATTGTTTGATTTTCCATCGAAATCGCACCACAATTGACCTAATGTAAATGGCGACTGGATTTTTTAGAATATCATACACATATTGAACTTATCACACGCGAAGAGCTGCTCTCTGGCTTTCTCTTTAGATATGTTTTGCTTCTGGTGACAGCTAGTTGGAAAATGGGCGAAGATTATGTCTGATAAACAAACAGATTTTATTACAATCCGAGGTGGGATGACTTTTTGGGTTGAAACGACTTGATACCCAAGCGAACCCAACGGATTCGGAGCGTACTGTACAACTGCCTAGGCTAGGCGTAGTTGTAGGTTTCTAGGCCTAGTAGTAGTACAAAATGTCTAGCATACAATTTCATTTGAATTGTGAAAGGTATATAATATTTTTAGCAGATGAAATTCATCATGAACTAGGCTAGCAAACTCGCACTACAAAAACATTCAGTTTTGCTTCAAGTGACAGCCTATGAGATGAATATACCAATTGGGTGTCTACTACTACAGTATTCCAGCCTAGGCCTAGCTAGGTTGAGGCCATCAAGTACTAGCATACTGTGGTAAATGTGGTATCCTAGTGTAGTCCAGGGGTGGTGCCAGCGGATGGGCCGGGGGCCCCCGTCGGGGAGAAAAAAAAAAGTATTTTCTACATATTGTAGAATCGATTAATTAAGGCCTTTGAAACCCCCAAATTGTCTAAATTTTCCAGGGGCTTCGTCCCGTCAGGGATGTTCACAAGATTCGTTGGGTTCAATACACCTGAAAGATCAATGCACAGAAGAAGAGAAAATAGCAACCTAACCTACCAAATTGTAGATGAGTGCGCTGAAACTTTGATGTAGCTAGCCGACAAATATATATAGAGTGAACGCTGACAGGTTTGAAGAAATCAGTAAGTGATTGGGCCGACAATTTACTAAAGTATAGAGTGTACCTACAGCAACAAAACACCAAAATGATGCACCACCATAACGGATTAGATGTCCGTACCGATATTGAATTGTGCGAAGTTCGAAAAGTTGAGAAGAGACCAAATGCTATGTACAAGGACTTGTCAGATTGTTTGTTGAGCAAGGCCAATTATAAACCGGTGCATTTGAATGTTTATGCTCCTAACAAAATGAATACTTCAACCTGCTTGCTTTAACCTTTCCTCTGATTATGTACAAGTACACTTCCAATAATACAAGTTTGTACATTGGATGGAAGCCAGATGTCTCAATTAGCGAGTCAAAGCAACTTAACCAGAACATGTTAGTGAAATCATCAATTCAGAAGAACCTTCCAGAGTACAAGTCCAGAGCAATGCGTCGTGAGTTCATGTCCTGTTTCGGAACCTTTACTGGGCTGCAGTCTGGTGTATTTAGGGCAATGTGGATGCACCTCACAAATGATTCATCCGCATCTTCCAATCTCAATGAATTACAAGTAAACTTGCAATTGCAGGAAGCACTTGATGCCGAAGACCCAGACCTTATATGGGACATGAGATCAAATAACAGAGGAACAAAATGCTACAGGCCTTTTTTTGGAAAAGGCCAAATTATACATTCAGGCTAACATTGAAACGGCAATAAACTATAAGAGACACGCACCAGCAGTGGATGGGGAAGTTACCACACATACAGCTGTAGCACTTATGCGACCGATCTTCGTAACGAAATCACTAAAACCTGCACTGATGATATTGCAATACCATCGGTACAATGGTTGCATCTTCAGTTCTGGCTCTCTAAAAAATCAAAGTTACACACTGGCGAAATAAGAAAAAAACCAATGATAGCGGCAAGAATGTTTAGGAAGGATCATCCTGATGCCCACTATGCATCTGCTCAGTTCCGGTACCTAAAAGAATTTTGCGTTCAATTTAAGGAGCATGCGGCGCTAATAGCTCAAGATGACAAACACACAGTGAAAATTGGCGAGTCTGGTTATCCAGTAGCCTCTGTTGAACGTGGCAAACAAGTTCTTGTCGCACTCGCTTCCAGATTTGTAGTAAACGACCATGATTTTACGAAATTTTCTCTGACACCTTCGGTGAGCTTTGTGATCGACATTCCTGACACAATAGAAGAAAGCTTCTACACCGGACTTGTAGGGCTTAAAGAAAATTCTTTCCAGCCATCATTGTGATGGTAGGACGTGTGGTTCGTAACGGTGTTGCTAGGTAATCCAGGTAGCTATAATTTGAGCGTGACGTGTGCATAATCGAGGGATGCCTTAGAAATACACCTGCCCTAATTCCATTTAATTAACAATAGTTCGGTGACGTTAATTTATGCAAACATGTGCGATGCGAGTTGCATTGTATAGGAAATACAGTTAAGTTGGTCACTGGACAGAAAGATCCCTTACCCGGCGGATCGGCACCATTTGTGCGGAAAGGCATAAGTTAGCCAATGCGGAATGGTACTGCGTGTTGTGCGAGATACAACCTGGTAGTCAGTAACGTTGTTCCCTGGTAGATTGGTGTTATACTCTTCATCGTGGTTTTATGAGTATGTTATCATGCTGAGGTGTTAATCTGTCCAGTCACCCACGTAATTGTATATATTTTGAACCCGTGAGTAGACTTTTGAATTTATAAACTATTGTATTAGTAAAATGTGGAACAGGTTTAAACTCTATGTATTTTCTCAATGGTTAATGGGCGTGTGAACAGTAAGAGTATACCTAGGGTCATCTTGCTTTATGTTATGACATCCATATTTTTTTTTTAATACCTTGTGTTACAGTTCTAATGTAATCGCTTAGAGGTTGGTGGAGTAGCAAGAATTATATCATAGTCTCTGCCTCGTCCGTAATTTTCTCATGGAGTTTTAGCACTGGGTAACTACTGGAATATAAACCATGTATAGTATTATTCTATTGCTAATTGGAATAATTATTAATATGTATATTCATATATTGATATAGCCCATGTATGGTATTGTTCTATTGCTAATCGGAATAATTATTAATGTATATTCATATATTGATATAGTTGATGTGTACTCATATATTGCCTATGTATGGTATTAACTGGCCACTCAGTTATAGTGAGGTATGATTCGTTTTGGTGACCGTAATAATTTATCTTGTGAGACGTTAAAATAGTTTGTTTGGTTCAGAAAACATAACGATATTTGTTTTGCATAGTACGGGTTAAGTAACCGGAGTATTCATAAGAATATCCATGGTAGATTTGTCTTATGTGACACGCTTGATCAACCGATGATTATAACCATTAAACTATTACATTGACTACTTTGATGCTGTGTCCGGAGTACTTTGTTTTTATTGTCTAGCATCTCTGAACGTTATCTTCCCTTTTTGAACCACTGTCGCTCATACGTGACAATCATTTCCTATTCTTCCTTCTTCCTTTATTCTTTCACAATTTTGCTGTTTTTTTCTTCATATTTTTCATAGTTTTATACACTCACATATTCATTTGTTTTAGGACTGGTCTAGACTAGACCTCGGCTATCAGTGCCTATTACTATATTATTTAAATATACAATTTTAATAGATAAAAGTAATTTAACATGGACATAGTAATTCATACTTAAACAATACATTAAATTTATATATTAATATGATAACGTTAACGAATAAATAACAATAACTATACCGTGTACATAGTGTAAAACTACTGCAATACTAAGATTAACATTTTCAATCTTATAATAAATTTTATACAGCCGGTGTTATGTATTGACCTAGGTTACTACAGCTAATGACAGGTACGCTTTCACCATTAAAGGCTTTTTCTATGAATGGAATGACCTGTACGAAACACGAGCTCCTGTAGACCAAAACCCAGTACCGTTACAATTTTAATCGTACGGGAAATATCCTCAAGACGCCCTAGGTTTGTTTACATTTCAGTAGCTTTTAAACAAATCCGATCTGAGCTAGGCCATATCGTCGAAGCACAGCGTAGCTGAGAGAGTCGCTTCGCAGGTACTAGATTATTTCCCCTTTTTTATCATCAATCGTGAAACATGTATTTATGACGAAAAAATCCATTTGAGGGAGTAGTCAGTGGATAAAAATTGGCCCCGCTCACTAAAGCTGAAAAGTTGCTCAGAAAGCCAAGAAAGTGCAGCGGTCTGCCCTGGTTTGATGCCTTGCTTGGGAGTAGTCCTGGCCACAAGCCGAAATGGGCAGGGTAACCCCACTGGTTTGAGTCCTTCTTCTCTCGATTTCTTTTAAAGCTGAAGCAGACCAGGGTAAGTCTCGGTGGTCAAGTGGTCCTAGCATGTCCCATAATAAAAATAAGGGACAGGCTGCATTTCCTCCGGCTAGGAAGAAAGTCAATCCATTGGGGCATGAGCATGAGGTATTGTGATCCCGAAACCCACCCCTCTTCAAGAGAGGTCTGTTCTCTTTGAGAGCAGGTGTGTGAGGTATAAGGCGTAAGTTTACATCCCAAGCAGGAGGCATCACCAGCTCAATTTAAAATGATCGTCGACTCTATGGACAGGGGTGTCTTAAGTCCTACATTCTATTTGCCACTTACAAAAAACAGATTAGGCCTATACTGTTTCTATTAAATATTTGTAATTGCTGTTGGAAATTTCATGACAAACACATTGAATTAACATTTCATATAGACAGGCCTAGTTTATAAACCTAAAAAAACACCCAGAAATTTCACTTCAATAAACAACAAACTACCTGGATATTTTACTTGGACCTAAAAATAGCTGGAATAATGCCATCATCAATACTGCTCCACAAGAAAGGATATCACAGATTCTAAAAATTACAGATGTCACTTTTCCCTCAAATATAAATAAGATATACACAAAAACCTTAACAAACCCTATGAGACTATGGCTACGTTCAGATTTGGATATTAGGCAGGCTTGAGTTAAGCCCGCCACAACGTTAACCCCAGCTTAACTTTGCCGGGCATTCAGACTAGCGGGTATAGCCAGGAGGCACAAGCATTTGCATCATAATGAACCTTGACCAGGAAACGTGTTTCAATTACTCGCGAAATGTATGCTTGCTCACAGCGTATGTAATTGAATGCAGATTGGTCATAGTCAATGCAAGACCCCCCTCCCCACAACGATTAAAGCACGGCTTAGAAAAGTTAAACACGGTGGCATGCCAGGTCAAGTTACTATAGGAACACAGCCTGGCTTGAGATAAGCCACCTAGTTCAGACTGGCAGGTGGATAAACCCGGTGAGTTGAGCCGGGTTTATCCACCTAGTCTGAACTAGGCCTAAGAGAAGGTCTTTGACTGTCAGAATTCCAGCAGTTCTCTTCAACCAGAAAATACATCCATTCTATATAAATGTCATCAACACAATATACTATACAACCATGGAACAACAATCATACTGCATAGTAACAAGATCAGTAATTGAAAGAGGAATAAGACAGGGGATACTATCTCACCTAAATTATTCAATGCTACACTGGAAGGGATGATCCGAAATTTAGACTGGAATAGAAAGGTAATCACATTGTTTGTATGGGAATCACATCATCTCCTCTTTGCAACGATAATGTGCTCATAAAAGACAATACCAAAGGATTAGAGGAAATGTTAAACAAAGAGAGCAATCAATATTTGATTAAAAATAAACAGGACACAACCAACAAATATATTATTTACAACTACTGAAAAAAAAAAAACACACACACACACAGGCTGGGTGGAATGCTTAAACCAAAAAATTGAGATGGACAGGTCACCTCGCCAAAATAAATGATAGATGGACAAAAATAACTACTGAATGGAGTTCAAGAACAGGTACTCAAGGTCAGGAATGATATAAAACCAGATGGAGAGATGAAATTGTATGAATTGCAGGCATGTCGTAGATGAGAATTGCGCAGAACAGGAGTAGATGGTTTCAGACCGGGTAGGCCTACTGTACACCCTGCAGTGGACTTACAACGGTTTAAATGATTATGATGAAAATGATATTTACCTAATAATAATAATAATAATGGCATCTTGTAATTTGTATTTGAATTAGTGCAAGATCTTAGAGGTTCATCCACCCATTGCCACTGTCGCGTTCCCGAACCTCTACCTAGGTGGTGCGAACAAAGGAACAGGAAACACATTTGCCCTGCCACAGAAAAACGGGTGCTCAGAGGTGGCAACTGGGATAGTACAGTAGCCCCCTAGAAATATCTCTTACTATTAAGTTAACTAAATTTATTTACTATGAAATACATCTTACGCCCTACCTGCAATAGTTTTCATCGACAAAACCATAGACATCAATTTCCTCACACATATCTATGGCAACAAGAAAGGTGTACCAACCAGTCGACAACCACGTATTTGTATTCTTTCTGGAAAATTAACTATTAGAATACAGAAAAGTTTATAATTTAAAAAAAAATTCCACATTGAAACAGTATTTCAAACTAGTTTTGCTATACTATAACAATTTTTAAACAAATTCTTTTATTTCCTTTGTAATCTAACAATTTGATCATACAATTACAAAATGTTGAGTTTTTGAATTTTAATAAAATTTTAGTATAACTGTCATTCTACAAAGTAGTTGAAAACAGGTTGTACAGCAACCAGGCTGAAAACAAATACATTTTTACTACAGAAAATCGCCCAAAACAAAAGAGGCACTCTAGGTAATGGGCTAGAAATCCAAGGACTATGAAAGAAGTCCTCAGATTAGTCACTTTCACTTATTCTCTGAAATGTTTAATTCAGTTTAACTTCACCTACTTGCTTTTGCCAGTTTCCAATTCAAATATAATATCTGCATTGCGTTCACCAAACTTGTCCAGACTATAGTAATCAACATCTGGAAATTGTTTCATAAGTTTATGGGCATTCATCTTAGCCCACCTATGATTGTTGTCGTTTAAGCCAAAAAACAGCACTTTCTCTGGAGCACCATCTCCACTTAAAATACCTTCAGCATTCACCATTACATTCTCTGTTGACATGTGACATATTACCCGAATGGTAGTCCTAGAGCCAACATCCTCTTTGTAATGTTCTGTGGGGGCGTGGTTCATTCTGATGATACATGAAGCATTGTTGATCATGTGACCAGCTTTTGTGTTCACACTTGAACCAGGAATAGTCTTGGTCATTGCAGATTTTGCTGAAAATTACAGCTTTGTAGTACAGGACGCTTCTCAGTCTTTTCATTGGAACAATCTGCAAGCAACACTTCATCCCTATGTTACTACCGGGGAAACCTGCAAGATGAAATTGACCATACAAGTTTTTGTGATTATATCAGAATGTAACACACATGATACTGTGGCAGTTCACCTTTTTCAAAAATTGCTCATACAGTTTTTAACAGACACACTTGGACATGTTAAGAAAATATGCTATTTTTCTGACGGCTGTGCTGCACAGTATAAAAATAGAAAAAACTTTTTAAATTTGTGCCTCCATGAAGAAGACTTTGGTGTTCAAGCTGAATGGCACTTCTTTGCCACCTCGCATGGAAAGGGACAATCTGATGGTGTTGGGGGGACAATAAAGCGGTTAGCAGCCAGAGCAAGTTTACAACGCCTATTTGATCAACAGATTATCACTGCTCGCCAACTTTTTGAATTTGCAGATTCAGAGATTGACAAAATACATTGCCAGTTTCCCACAACAGAGCAATATCGGCAACAAGCAGAATTCCTGAAAGACAGATTTGAAAATGCTCGCACAATTCCAGGTACACGGAATTTGCATTCTTTTATTCCAGTCTCCAAAGAAGCGGTTACAGTTCGATCC